GATGCTGAGAGTGGACGTCAAAGGGCTCTAAGCTTCTCTGAGTCCCAGCCCCCAGCACCTGACTGCCCTCACTCTCAGACACCCCATCCCCTGCTCCACCCCTAGACTGACCTGGCTCTCACCTAAGGCGCCATTTCAGAGTCCCCAGTAAGAATTTTCTCTATGTCTGTCTTTGGTCTAAACTTGGAAGAAGTAGTCAAATCAGAAAGTTAAATGCGTGGCCTCTGGGACAGACAGCCTGAAGGTGGAACCATGGCTCTGCTGCTCACTAGCTATGTATCTTGGGCAAGTTACCTTTTTGTGCCTCGGTTTCCTCATCTGTAAGTGAAGATGATAACAGAACCTATTTCGTAAGAGAATGGTGGAAATTGAACATGTCAGCACGTAATGAAATCCCCCAAACAGTCTCCAGCACGTAGTAAACGCTTGGTGGTCTTTGATGGGGTTCCCCCACCCCCGCATGGCTGCTCTCCAGGTCTCCTCAACCTCTCCTTCCCCTGGGCTGTAGCTCCCAGGGCACTGAGCAAACCCCACCCCACGGGATCCTCACTGCATTGCCCCAGCAGACCAAGTGAGGGGCGCCGTTTCTGACCTGGGGCCCAGAGTGGGGCTGCTAGGGCAGCAACATGGATGGCTGCAGTTCCAGCTCCTCTCTGACGCGACCTCAGCTTCAGAAACACAGCCCCAAAACCCGGGTTATGCCAGCAGTCCTGGAGGGCAGTTGGAAGGATGTGTAGGGAAGCATTTTCTCCTGTAACTTCAGGATGGAATGCATGTACCTCTAGCTTATATATTCCTACATCACAGGGCTTACATTCTAGGACTTGAGTTTCTGACAGCAGCTGGTAAAGAGAGGAAGAGAGAAGAGGGATGAGCCCCAGGAGACAAGAATGGGGACCAGATGCTCAGGTGTCCCCTCACCACTTGGTCTTACAATGTCCTTTCCTTTTCATTTGGACCTTCTGTCCCAGCAACAGACTAAACGTTGAGTGATCGCTGTTTTTAATTAAGCATTTACTAAGTGCCAGGCATGATGCCAGGGGCTTTGCATTCACGATTTTCAGTTCTCTCCACACCCTGTAGGGAAGGTATTATTCATCACCGCTTACCAATGAGGAAACCGAGGCTCAGAGCAGTGTGATACTTCGCTTAAGGCCCCCAGCTATCAGCAAGGGATCCCAGGCCCACAGACTCGTCTCCAGTGTTCCACCCTCCCAGGTAGCAATCTGTGACACTGGTGACTGGCTCCATCCCCCGCCTTCATCTGAACAGTTGGCAGAGAGGTCTCGCCAACAGCTGGGGAGGAGGGCTGTGCACTGGGAAGTTGCCAGCCAAGGCACTGAATCTTCCACTCTCACCCTCCTTCTCACAGAATCTTCCAAGAGGGCAGGTGCCCAGCACCGTAAGCGCCCATGTGGGTCCTCCAGGGAGGAAGGAGATGAATGTCTCTGTGAGATGCTCAGGAAATGTCCCCACCCTCCAACCTGGCTGCACTGCTGGCTGGGGGGCACCTCCACGCCTTCCGGCAGACTCTCAGATCTTCATGCCATGGTCATCCTGTGAGCACTGACACTCTGATCCCTTTGAAGATGAGCAAATCGGGTTTGGGAAAGGTGGTCATTTTCCTGCACGCAGCAACCCCACTCAGGTCTTCTGACTTCCAGACCAGAGGCACACACCACACACCAGGACTCACTGAGCACATGCCACGTGCAGGGACTGCCCTGGGTACAAGGGACTAGCCACGGACCAAACAGGCTTCTTTCAAGCCACTCCGGCCCAGGGCCACTGGGGCCACTGCATGGTTTGCATCTGCCCTGGCTGGGAGGTGCTAAGCTATAATAACAAAGTGGGTGTCCTCCCTCCTCAGAGCCACAGGTCAGGGTCAACTTGAACCCCAGAAGCGGAGGACGCTTCCCAAACCAACCTCACTCGGTGTCACGTGGCTCTCTTAGGAACCACTGTGCCCCCACAGCAAGTCCCTCCAGCCCCGGCCAAGTGCCACTATAGCACCGTCTGTCAGGATCCCCACCTGTGTCTTCCCACCACACTCACCCTGCCCCAGAAGAGAGGACAAATCCATCCCCACCTTCCTGACACTAACTGCAGCAGGTCAGACCCTACGGCAGAAAGTCAATGTCATTGGGATATACAAACATGGAGAGGGCGTGTCTCTGAGGCAGCTGTCATGTTGGTACCAGGTTGCTCACACTACAAGCTTCCTGTTCCTTTCGCTTAGAAAGGTGAGCCCCATCCCAGTTATCCCAGATCCTGCCGTGTCATGGGGGCTGAAGTGCAAGTCTGGCCCAAGGGCCAGAAAGACCTCTGTTTGGCCCCTGGTTCTCCTGCTTCCTAGTTATGGGATCTTGAGTCCGCTACTTGGTGTTTCTGAGCATGGGGAGAGAAAATACCTCCCTCCCACGGTCACTGCCAGGTTTAAACTGAGGCGTTCAGCTCATCATGCGCGCCAAGTGGCTGCATTTAAAGCTTCTGACTCTCCCTTCTTCCTCTGTGCTCCATACATTGTTTGTGCTCCTTTCCACACTTAGCACAACAGGTTCTGGGCGTCTGTGGACCCCTCTGCCTCCACGAGGTCCTCAGAGCCAGCTCACCTCCACAGCCCTGGTGCCGGGTCAGGCGGTCAGCGAGCGGCAAGCACTCAACACTCGTTCAAGTCCATTTCTCCCAAAGTGCCGTCCGCCAACGGCACTGCTTCCCAGGCACCGGAGACAAATGAGTTTGTCATGTAAGACAAGCACCAAAAGATGGCACAGCCTCACCTGGAGATCAGTCATTGATGTGTCAGGGAGAAAGGCACCAAGATGGTCCCTGGGATCACTGGCTCCAGTCAGTCACAGCAGGAAGTGCGTTTTCCGACCTTGAGTCTGACTGGAAAGGCTCAACGCGTGGAAGAGGGCGTGGAGAGGCGCTGCCGAGCTGGGCGCCCTCACTGAGGACCAGGTGGTCTGTTAGTGGCGCTCTTCTGTTTCATTCAACCGACCTCCCAAACCCCGTGCATTCAACAATCGGAAGGAAATACGGCTGGGAAGAAAGTGCAGAGATCAGCTAGCTCACAAGTCACTGGTTTTTAGAGGTGATGAAACTGTTGCTCAGGACAATTAAGCGACCCAAAGGTAGTAACTGGATAATTGCGTGCGCGCGCGCGCACACACACACACACACACACACACACACTCCTCCCGTGGATGGATGGAAACGGACCTTTCAGCCCAGTCACTCACACTCACACCTGAAGGCACCTATCCTGTCTCCGTATCCATGTTCCCTACAAGTTTATTCCTTTGTTTGTTATTTGATGGATGGAAACTCTAGGCTTTGTAGCCAACTCATCTTTCACCAAGAAGGGAGCCATCCTGGCGCTAGCAGCTAAAACCACAGCTATTGCTCACGCACCCCCTCGTGGCCACGTGTGGAAATGCATGCCCCCAAAAGTTCATGTTGAGCCAGACTGATGATAACCACTTGGCTTGGACCTGGTTGCCACCAAAAAGGAATCTCAAATACGATTTTAACTCCTAAGAAAAGAGGATCGCGAAGTATGATCTTAGGTGAGAGGGCATAAAAAAAAGATAGAAGATGAAGAAAAGGGGAAAAAGGAAGAATATGAGGGAGGGAGAAAAAAACGAGAAAAAAAGAAAAGGAAGAGAGAAAACATACATGGAGAGTAGGAAGAGAGAGCAAGAGAATCAGGGAAGCTTAGAGAAGGGGGCTGTTTCTCTATGCTAAGCCTTTCTGTATCTCAAAGACAAACACTCAAGATAATAGTAATGGAAAACTAATAAGAACTGACATGGCCAGGGTCAGCTGGCCACGCTGTAGCAATCAGGTGGGTCCAGGTGGGCCAGCGAGGACAGCGGACAGGGAACCCGGAGTTGACCCCATCACTACCTGACTTGGTAATCCTTTCAGAACCTAAATCTTTCGAGATTCTATTTCTGAGCTTGTAAAAGGAGAGCTAACAGCGGTTGTTGTCTTCCTGTTTTATTGAGACCTGATGAGAACAATAAAGATTTGCCGAGGACACCCTGGAAAGTGCTCTGAGTTCCCAGATGTAACCATCATCGAAATGTGTTTTATTATTGTCCTACATGCAGCCGCAGCAGCCTTCCATCCCCTGCTTCCCGGACTAAAAGGTGATATGTGATGCTGGGCTGCCAAAGGACTTGATATATTTCAACAATGCATCAAGTTGTCACGACCTCGGGTGCTTTGTAAGACACTGTGATTTGAAAGGAGCTGTTGAAATGTAAAGCATGATTGCCACAGCGGTAAGGAGACCCATGTCCATCTCCTCAGCCCTCCTTCTCGTCAGGATGCACGGAGACACAAAACAATTCCGTCCACATTAGCAGCACAGTTTACAATAAAACCGCACATGTCTGAGTTGGCAGAATGGTCACAAGCAAAATAGTTTTGGAAGTGTCAAGTTACCCTTAGTGTCCAAACAGCTACCCAGGGGGTGATGGTATTTTTAGAGTCCACTGCAAACGTAAACACATCCAAGTCACATATAAAAATGCCATCTTGTGTTTTTCTGGCATCAGACAATGAAGAGATAATCTTAACAAAAATGGCTGTGAAAGGAGAGTGGATATGTGCGCTCACATGCATTGAGTTACATGAGGAAACATCTCTTCTCCAAACAAAAGGAAGTTTTGTGGGTAACCTGTCTGCGGTCTTCCTCAGTGTCTCCGTGGATTTCATTCTCTGGGTTCTGTATAACACGACACCAGCCTTCCCACACCCTGAGCCCTCAGCACTACCCCTGTCTGGCTTTAACTGGGATGACATATCACACCTCACAGTCCTATGCTTGCTGCTGATGGGGTAGGGGTGAGGTATCAGGGACACTCAGGCAATCTTCTTTTAAAATTTTTTTATTAGTTTCAGGTATACAAAACAATGCAATAGCTAGACATTTACACCCCTCAGAAAGTGATAGCCCCCCTCCCCCAATCTACTACCCCTCTGACGTCAGATAGTTCTCGATCTTAATTGTCAAGCAACCTTGATGGATGGGATCCAGCCACAGATGGCAGCTGGTACATGGGGAAGTGCCAGCTTCCTCTGTCAAATCTTATCCTTCAAATCAATTATCTCCCAGTCGTCCGAACCACACTCGGCTGGTAACAGGTCTGCAATGCTACGGCAACTTGCACACACAAACCATCGTGATCTGTGCACAGTTCTATGCGTTGTTACCCTGGAGCGTGTGATGGCTGAAGCACCAGTTGAGGTGCCCGATAGACATGGGCCTTCCCCTGATCAGCTGGGTGCTTTGTGCAAAGCACCCTATTCCGGCCTCTCTCTCCCCATCTGTAGAATGAAGGCAACATTACTCCTACAAATGGATCCTTTAAGAGTTCCATGAGATAAATGGATGTAAAGTGCAAACAAAGCACAGAACCCACAGACTCGGTGGGGCGTCCACAGACCACAGGCATGTGTGAGCCATGTGTGTAGTTTTAAATTTTCTTACAGCCACATTAACGAGGTGAAAAGAGACGGGTGAAGTTCTTTTTAGTAAGATCGTTTATTTAACCCTGTATATCCAGAACAATATTTTGACATGTCATCAATAATTTAAAAATATTAATAAGATAGTTTACTTTTTTTTAATATGTGTATTTTGCACCCACAGCACATCTCAATCCAGATGCAAAAACTTCAACGGTTCAAGTAAAATGTGGGTCTAAACAAACTATAAGACAACAAAGTTGTGTTTAATGGGAAAATAGCTTACACTGCTTCCATTTTTTTAGATTTAAATCAATTAATTAAAATTAAATCACATTAAAAATGGTTCTTCACTACTCCTAGCCCCAATTCAAGTGCCCACTGGCCACATGGGGCTAGTGGCTCTAGCATGGGGCTGTACAGTGTCAGAAGAACAGATTTGGGGCTATAGAATAGGAAACCCAGCTGTCAATGACTCCCCAAATATATGTCTCATGGTCCTACCCCATGTGGAGTCCAAAGAGGCTGCCCAGGGCTGAGTCCACACAGGAGCCAGAGGCCAGGGAAGCCCACCTGAAGCGTTTCCAAGAGGTCAACCTCCCAGGATAGAGCAGCATTGAAAGGGGCGGGGAGTGGGTCCAGTGGGCAGCAGGAGAATGACCAACCCACTTCGCGATGTGCCAGAGTACATAAAAGATTTCACCTTAAATGTGTGGAGCGGACCTACTGGGTTTCCACTCTGATTAATTCTCATGTCTGCGTGGGGTAGCCGGTATCCCCATTTAGGTTATGTGTACGCACGGCTCCTGGTTGGGAGTCCAGTCCACCATGGTGTTGACTCTGGAGTCACTTACTCAGAATTTCGCACCAGGCCTTTCCCACTCACTAGTAAGTGACCTAGCACAAGCTAATGTGCCACCGTGAACTGGGCTTTCTAATCCGTATGGCGGGAGGAACCGCGGTGGCCTCACTGCCTGGCTGCAACCATCGGATGAAGTGCCACAGGTTCCCTAAGCCTTTGCTCCTCCGTGGGAGCTGGAGACACAGCGGCTGAGGGCGCAGGCTCTGGAGATGGCATGCATGGAATTCAGACCCCAGCTCTGCCCGCGTTAAACCCTGTGTCCTTGGGCGAATTCCTTAGTCGTTTAGTGGCTCAGGTTTCTCATCCACAAAGCGGAGGAAAATTGTCCCTGCCACATCAGGCTGTTGTGAGAATTAAATGAGCTGTTACATGAAAAGCGATTAGAACAGTGAGCCGCACTTACCAACAGCCTGTTATAGGTAAAAAGCATCGAGACGCAGACTGTGTGCTCCATGCATCATGAACGAACTCCGTTTCATCCCTCCTGCAAAGGAAGCACAAGGGGAGATCAGCACCAAGAGCGTGGACAGCGCCCTCGCCGGACAGAGACGGAGGGAGGGCGGGACTTCTTCCTTGACGCTGCAAGCTGGTAACAAGAGAGGCGATTGTTTGGGGCACCTGAGCAGGACTACAATCTATAACGAGGTTTATGAGTGGTGGCTTCTGTTCCCAGGAAAAGGAAAATCAGCACAGAAGCCACCACCCCACGCTTCTGCCCAGGAAAATACCTGGGCTTAGTTCGTGTATAGGGCTACTTAGCATAGTGGTTAAGATCATATCATAATTTTAAAAGCTCAGCTGTACGACCCTGAGCTAGTTACTCAACAGCTCAGAGCCTCAGTGTCCTCACTTGTAAAACTGGGATTATACAATAGTAGCACCTACAACGTTGAGTTGCTATGAGGATGGAATTAGTATTTGAAAGTGCCTAAAACAGGGCCAGGCACATAGTAGGTATTTTATATAGGTTTCTTGACTAAATAGAATTATCTCGGTCCCATAAATGAATTTTGACCAGTCTATTTCCTCAAGTGTTGGATACTGGTCTGAGACATGGCTCCCTCCCTTGGGACTGAGAGCCAATCAAAACTGGGTTTACCTGTCCATGAACAAAGATAGAAAGTGCCTAAGTCAGCAGAATCGAGAGGTCCATGCAGGGACACAAGTCACCAAGCTCTGCTGTTCAGCATGCTACAGCCTGAGAATGATTCGATGTTTTTACCTTTTGGACTAAACAAAGCCCTGTCAACGCATCTCATCACCAACAACAGAATTAGCAGACAGGAAATGAAATCCTTACTCCTGCCCTTACTAGCTCGTGTGTGCGACTTGGTCACTTCCCCTTTCTTTGAGCCTCCATTTTCTCATCCATGAAACGGGGATAATAATTTCTATGTCAAATATTCCTCCAGGGCGGCACACAACAGTTACTTAGTAAATGAAAGTGGTTTTCTTCTACCTTTCGTCTTTGAAAGTCTATGGACAACCAGGAAGTCTGGGCGATAGCTTTGGAAGACTGAATTTCACAGATGGCATCAGCTAGTTAAGCATTAAGGAATTTGAAAACAATGTGCAACAGTTTGTCTTTTTTTCTTTTTTTTTTTTTAACTAAGGCATGCACAGTGATGCTTCTGGCCTGTGCTCATCAGAAAGGGGTCCTACTGTTTTGCTTTGAATGAAAGAAGGGCGGAGGCCTCAGAAGCGTGGTAGGAAGAACATAGACTTTGGAGTCAGCTTTTCAACTCCAAGCTGTGTAATAGCCTTTATAGCAAGTGACTTAAATTTTCTTTTCTTTCTTTCTTTTTTTTTAATATGAAAGGGTTTTTAATTCCTGAAGCGTCAAGACCACCAACTTACGTTTTCTTAGCCTCAGTTTCCTCAATTGTAATAACCTGCCTTTTGGAAATATTGAGATTGATTAATACTATGTACGCAAATTGGCTAGCACACTAGGGGCTCAGGAAATGGTAACTCTTAGAGTAAGTTGAGGTCCCTTGAAATAAAATGTAGCTTCTCATCAAATCAAACAAACAAAACTCCACAGAAATTGCTTCTTTCGCTGATGGTTTATTTTCTAGATTTCCTGAAATATAGGGAAGGACAGAATATTATGCTCCAAACAAATAATGCCACTTCTGCTGATAAAGCTAAGTTGTAATAACACAAGGACAATTCACGTTAAGGAAAGTCTATGCAGATGCTTAGATGCTGGAGAAGTTGCATGTAAAGAGNCCACCCCCACCCCCACAGCTCCAGGCTCACTTCTCCAACCTCTTTTGATGCCACTAGCCCAAGCTTAACAGGTTTACAAGGAAACTCCTGATTCTCTCTCCCTGACCACCTCTGAGTCCAAAAATAGCCTCTCCGCCAGTGCTACAGTTATCTACTGAGGCATAACAAACTATTCAAAAGTTTTAACACTGTAAAACAGCTATCGTTTTATTATATCTTATGATTTGGGGCTTAAGAATTCCAGCAGGACTCAGCCGAGGGAGGCCGCTCTTCCATGTGGCTTTGATGGAGGTCACTAGCTGGTGTTTCGTTGGCAGGTGGGCTGTTCTGCAGGGCCTGTCCTATGCCCGGTGCTTGGTGGGGATAGCTGGAAGGCTGGGTTCAACAGGACTGGTGGCTGGACTGTATCCGTACATGACCTCTCCAGGATGGTGGTCTTAAGACAGTCAAACTTCTTACCTGGCCATAGCTATGTATTTCTCACATAGACTCCCCAAAGGGTTGAGTCTAATTCCCTCTCCCTGAATATGGGCTGGACTTAGCGCCCTCCTTCTAATGAATGGGAGTGATGCTGTGTTGCATCTGGGCCTAGGTTAGACAAGGTGATACAGTTCCCACCTGGCTCACTTTCTCAGGAAGGGCCTTGGAGTACTGGACGGATACATACTAGCATGCCAACTCTGAAGCTGCCATGCTAGGGAGAACAGGCAGAGAGACTGCACGGAATTAGAGAGGTCCGAAGGGCTCCGGCTGCTCTAGTCCACAGCTGTCCGAGTTTTCCCAGCTGAGGCACCAGATCTGTGAGGGAGAGAAGCTTTGGGTCAGTCCAGCCCCCAACCTTTGAGCCACCAACATGGCCGAGCAGAGACGAGCACCATGAGCAGTCTTCACTGTGTCCTGCAGCATTTCTTCAGAATCCATGAGCACAGTGAGTGGTTGCTTGACACCATGAAAATTTTGTGTAGCTTGTTTTGCAGCCACAATAATTGGAATGGTAGCAATCCAGGGACCCAAGAGTGTATGTGCACCAATTAAGAAAAGGGTCACTTCCTGTTCTTCTACAGCCTGGCCTTGGACATCATAGCCATATCTGCTGTACTCTTTTGGTCAATGCCATCAAGACATTCCAGGGAAGAGGGCACAGAAGCCACTTCTTGATGGCAAGGAGGTATCAATTTGCAGCCATATTTTTAATACCTCCACAGTTAGTGTTCATCGTCTTGACAAATGACAGCCGCTTCTATACCCAGCTGTTCAAGCCAGAAACCTGGAAGTCCTTCTTCATCCCTCCCTCTTCCTCACCTCTATATCCAACCCACCAGCAATCAGCAAATCTGAGTGAGTCTTCCTCCAAAATACTTGCAATCCATCCATGTTCCTCCCTCTCTCCCCCACTGCACTGGGCAGAGCCATCACCATCTCTTGCATGGGGTATGTCCACAGCTTCTGGACAGACCCTCTGTCCCACCCTTGTTCCTGTACAACATCATCAACACATCACCAGAGGGATCTTTTAAAACTTTTAAAAAATATATATGAACTGGATGTTATCGTTGCCCTACTGGGAGGCCTTCAGTGACTTTCCACTGTAGCTACAAGGACTTACTTCCTCTGTTCCTTGCTTACATCTCTGATCCCATGTCATGCCCTCTTCTCCTTCACCTCCTGAGGTCCATGACAAGCTCTTTCCCACCCCAGGGCCATTTTGCATACTGTCCTTTTTTCCCCCTTTTTCCTAGGTTCTTTGTGCGTCTGCCTCCTTCTCGTCCTTTAGGTCAGCGCTGAAATGGCACCGTCTTAGTAAGACCTGCCCTGAGCACACTAGGTAAGAACGCCAACCTCCCTTTCCCATAATTCTCTCCCTCAGCGTCTTGTTCTTGCTGTTGTTGATGGGACTGAAATGCATGCACGACAATGCAGAAGCGCAAAAATGGGAGTTGGATTTTTTTTCTCTGTAGATGATGTCATCCTGCCCCAGAGCCCTCCTGGTTGCAGCTGTCGGAGACAGCGATGGGTAGCGGGTGGTGGGGAGAATAGCAACGCAGCCTCTTTCTAACTACAACAATCTAAAACAGCCTATTGCAGTTAAATTCATTCTCTTGGGAAAACACTCCATCCATTCTAAGTCCAAACTCTCTCAGAACTATTCCTCCCATGTTTGTTTGGTAGTTCCTGTCACCATGCATTTCCCCAGATGCTGTCTAGGTCCGCAGGGATGCTTTTATCGTCTCCGATATTGGGAGAAGGTGGCCTCTGTGTGCTCCCTGGCCTGATGTTCCTGCTGTGACGTGGCCAGTTTGGTCCACCACTGGGTCACCAATGTGTGTGTCCTAGTGTCCTCTTCATAGTTTCCATGTTCCTTTCACAAGGATAGGAACAAATGAAATTCACATCTCAAAGGCTACAGGGCACTTAAAAAACAAGTTGTTTTATCTTTTATTTACTTTCTTTTTACCTCCTCTCCTGCCTTCATCTGCAGGTGTCACAGTTGACACTGGAGGAGGGTAACTGACAGATAACTGGCACTCTCCAAGGCTTATTTCAAGGGTAGCAAATGACAGAGAACGTTTGGAAACTAAGGTCACAGTTGTGGACATGATATTGTTGTCCTAATAGAAAGGGGGATGGGGCAGTGCCTCAGTCGCTGGGAGAGCTGGGAGTGGGACAGGGGTTGGGGGTTTGGGGCGGAGGCTGTGCCTATAAAGATGAAGCAGAATCCAATGTACATGGTGCCCAGGATGGGCGGGGCGGGGGGGGGGTTCTCCTATTGTCTCAAGGCGAACAGGACACCNATCTGTGGCTATATATGTGTTATACAGCAAGGAGGAATTAAATTGCAGATAGAATGAAGATTGCTAATCAGCATACCTTAAAATAAGGAAATTATTCTGGATTGTCTTGGTGGGGGGAGGGTGGCTGAAGCAATGATAGGGTCCTTTAACGTGGAAGAGGTGGGGCCGAGAGTCAGAGAGAGATTGGAAGGTGCTATGATGCTGGCTCTGAAGATGAGGGGACCGGCCACAAGCCAAGGAGTGCAGCAGCTCTAGAATCTGGGGAGATAAGGGCATGGAATCTCCCCTCCAGCCTCTAGATGGGACTCCGGTGAGAACCATTTCAGGCTCCCGACCACCCAGCACTGTAAGATGACACTTTTGCATTGTTTTAAGCCATTAGGTTTGTGGGAATGTGTTCCAGCAGTGACCGGAAACTCCTGCAGCTCTCTCTGTCTCCAGAGCCTTGGGTTCCTGTCTCCTCTACCCTGGGCTTTCGTTTTCCCTGATCCGCCCCCCCCCGCCCCCCTCCTTCAACTCCAACCCCGCAGGCATCAGAGGAGCCACGCGGGTGGAGCCCATCAGCCCATTTGCAGTTTCTGGTGGTAGATCTGGGAAGACTCACTGGGTGTGGGGGGTGCGAAGACACTGGAAATCACCCAGTCCCTCCCCTCCTGTGACAGACGGAGTGACTAACCTCCAAAGGAGGGGGAAGCTTGCAGACAGTGCAGAGCAGAGGGGAACTTGACTGGACCCCAGTGTCCGGACACCAGATGAGAGTGCCTTCCTTCTCCATGCAGCACAAACCAAGTTCATTCCTATGGGCAGCTCCCCCTTCAAAGCCAGTCACAGTGCAAGGTGACAGTGATGACCTGAAAAGGGCAGGGTGCTGGGATGGTTCAGATACTGCCTTCCTCTGTCAGATGGGCTGCAGGAGGGTAAATGGCTTCAGAGCCCTGGAAATGTGGGACACAGGATATCTTTTGTACAGGAAGAGTGCCACCCTCAGAGGAAGGAGCCTTGTCCTGGCTGGCACCAAGGTCCCTTCCAACCCTGGGCTCCCTGCCTTGGTGAACCGTGGGGTGGGAAGGTCACACTCCCCAACAGCGTCTTTAAAGCCTCGGCTAGTTCCTTCCCCTGGACCTCCCCACCCTCCCTTTTGCCAAACGAGCAGGCGCATCTTTCAGCTTCCTGCTTTGTCACTCTGTCCTTGTACCTTTCCCCCCTCCATTGCAGGCTGTGGGGAGATAAATTCGTCTTACTTCAAAACGCCCCGGCAGTCCGTCAGCGGCTGTCGGGTGAAAGGCACCTCCCCAGGGCTCAGCTCATTTGCGAGCAGCCTTCTGTGAGGTTCAGATCTGGCTCGCGGGGCAGCCGTCAGAGCCTCCGGGAGCTTCCGGTCGGCCCGCTGTGCTGAGCTCGCCCTGCCGCCCCAAGCCCCACCTTTCTCTTCCATGGAGAAAAGGCTCAGTGTGGCCCCGTTACTGTGGGGCTGGGACCCAACTCTGATCTTTTTCACCTGAGCTCCAAAAGGTTGTCTCCCAGCCTCTGAAAAGCATCAAAGCAGCCTGGAGACCTGTGGGGTGTTTTCCGACAGGGAGCGGGCAGCGTTTAGGACCTGGAGGGTTTCACAGGGAACGTGCGATTAGCCTCCACCTCCACCCTTCAGGGGCCCGGGCCAACGCTCCCTTCCCCCAAATGCCTGTAATGTATTGAAGCATTGACTTACCTCTGGAAAATAGCAATTCTGGCCTTAGGATCTTGTTTTTCTCTAAGAGAAGTTCTTTTGTGGGGTGGAAGGAGGGAGCTGGTGGGGATAATGGCACATGTGGTACTCCCCAGCGGCCACAGCNTGCTGATAAAGCTAAGTTGTAATAACACAAGGACAATTCACGTTAAGGAAAGTCTATGCAGATGCTTAGATGCTGGAGAAGTTGCATGTAAAGAGGTCTTTAAAATTAGCCGAGAATCTGAGGCTGTGTGGGCACCGGCTGTGTTAGTCACTGAACAGTTTCTCTAAGATGTCGACTTTGCTTTTATAACAGGCCCCTCCTATTAGCCTAAGAGCCCTTATAACAAATGAATCTCTGATTCAAGGATTATTGTGGCCTTATTTTGCATGTGCATCTTTGGCTTTCATAAAATCGCTGTCCGTTGTCTTCCAAATAGCTTTAATTTTCTTCTTCCTCCTCCAGCCCCCTCGTCTCATCCTCCTTCAGTATTCTCTCTCTCGTGGAGTGGCCTCTCTATTATTCCACAGACCTAGATGCCACCGCCCCCTCCTTCAGCCCCACAGCGACTCTGCCAGAATTCCTATATTTCCCTGCTAAATATCTCAAAGCCTCCACTTCTGTCTCCTTCCTCTGTCTTCTCACTGGCCTCCTGCCCTCTGGCCTCCGTCTTGTCCACTATCTGCACTGCACCCAGGCTCATCTGTAATGATGCACGCCTGTTCCTTCCTTCCTCGCTGAGAGCCTGTCCACGGTCTCCACTGCCATTGGTTCAGATCAAGGCCAAAATCCTGTATCCAGACAACAAGACCAGTTCAATCTGGCCCTGCCTCCTCTGCCAGGCTCTTCTCGCTCCAGCCAAACTGATGCTGGGGTTTGGGGAAATGTACCAGGCATTCATTGAATGGGTGCTCCGTAACCTCCAATGGCCCCCTTTGCTCCAGCATAAACTAACATTCCTCTGACTCTGACGACTAACCCATTTTCTCATTTATGTTTTTTCTTTTTTGTTTCCTTTTTACCCGTTTTCTCTCATTTCCTCCCCTCCTCTTTGCACTCAGAGCCCAACAGTTCTTCTGTGGCTGGCCTGTCTCCATGTGGGTGAAGGAGGTGGTTTAAGTTCTGGTCCTTCCTCCAGAACTGCATGATGGTGAAATAGGACAGAATCCACTGAGCTTTTACAACCTCAGTCCATCAGCATTCACACACACACTCACTCACTCACACTCACTCACTGCTCCCGGGCTATAGCACCTAAGCCAGGGCCTGGGCTGTCAATCAATACATCAGTGTGGTCAGAGACACAGCAGCTATTTGTGAACACAGAGGACATGCTCCACCACCAGTTCCTAACCCTTTTGTGTTCTTTGTCCTTGGTATTCATCTCCTTACTGACTCTATGTTTAGTGAGTATAATGATGTGCTAGCAGCTGTTTCCTGCTTGGAAACACCGTCCCTGCCCCCAGAAAACCTAGAGTCTAGTGGAGACATGCCACCTACCAGCTCTATGACTGTGAGTCGGTTAAGTAACCTCCCTGCGCCCCAGTTCCATTATTATCTGTAAGATGAAAATATTAATGTCACCTTCACTGTGTTGTTAATGAAATAAAATAGCGTATGTCAATTGCTAAGTGCTGACTTTGTAAGATTGACATGAGATATAATGAGATAATGTAAGAAAGGGGCTTGAATACTATCAGGCTAATACGTATTCAAGAAACGATGGCTTTGTGTGATTACTACCTGACAGGGAGTTAGAATTGCAGATTGAGACAAGTTCTCCGAAGGGAAAACGGCTCCTGCTGTGGTGAAGAGCGACGCAGGGGACTCACCTGGTGCAGTCGTCAGGGGAAGCCCCGCTGAAGAGGTAACTGCTAAGACGTGAAGCAGTGCGTGAGGAGCTCCACAGAGGCAGGGCGTGCCGGGCCGAGGGGAAGGCCGGAGCCCACGGGATCCTGTCGCCACGCAGGCCTGGTCCAGGTGCCATCTCTGCCACCCAGGGATGCTCAGGAGAGTCACGTTGCTTCTCAGAGGCTCGGCTCGCTCATCTGCAGAAAATCACAGTGTCCATAATGAAGAGAATGAAGGGAGAACAAGGAAAAGATACTGTCTGTGCAGTAGATTTTAAATAACATGGAACTCACCAAGCAGAGAGGTTCACGCAGAGCAGGCCTGTAGTAAGTGCCGGGGTGCTCCTGCTCCCCTCTGCTAAGCGTCTTCCAAAATTAGTAATTGCCTGCTTGGGACCATTCACATAACCAGTAAGTCAGGCTTCAAAGCCATGCTGACCTAACTTGAAAACCCACTCAGTCAAATCCGGAACCGTCGCAGAGCTGACCCATGGGTAGAACACTTATCTAACTCGTGAATTTCCTCTTTACTCCTCGCAGTATTTCAGTAAAGAGGAGTCTATTCTTTCCTCTCGTTTTACAGTGGAGAGGGAATGTAAGGATGTGGCTGCGTGTCCTGCTGTGTCCCGGAGCAGGTGGCCCAGGTGTCCTCAGCCTCTCCTTGGGGCCCCTGCCCCATGCACGAATTTCCTTTGAGATGGAGGAGTTCTCCTGTTCTCAGGACCCCTCCATCTGTCAGGCTCAATCCTATTCTTGGTTTGTGTTCCCCTCTTTCAGAAAGGTTCTGGATTACTCCAGGCCACAGTGATCTGAACTGATCTGGGAAAATCAGGACCTAGGCCACCCTTAGTCCCAGATCCCGTCTTGTTTGTTTGTGACAGATTTACCTTTTCAAGGGGCTGAACTTGTGCCTGCCTGTCTCTGTCCCTCCTTTTCTTCCTTCTTTTCTTTCCTCCTTCCTCCTCTTCCATTCTTGTTTCCTTCACCTCCTTTTGTGCATTGCACAGGTCTGGGGACTTGCTAAATCCACAGGTCCTGACAGCATTAAGCAAGAGGGGAGAGAAACTCAGGAGAAAAAAAGTGATTCCAGTGAACCTGGCATGAGCGAACTGCACTGTCTTCCCAGCCGGGAGTACTGTCTGAGGAATCTCTGAATTAAAACAGCACTTTTCTTGAGGAAAGCCATATTTTCTGAACTAAGAATTAGGACACATTCTGAGAAGGAAGTTGAGGAGATGTGAAGAGAGACCAACACGTTGGAATTGTTAGGATTGGGTTGGGGGAAGTAGTTGCACTTAGACTTTTGCGCAGAGTTTACCAAAGGATATCATCATTCCTATTTCACAAATAAAGAGATTGAGGCCAAAGGTCATCCAGCTTCTAAGCCACTGGAGATGCTGAACTAAATGGTGATACCCCTTCCTCCCGAGAATCAGCACTATAGGTGTTTACATCTTGTCTTTGCCAGGTCCATTGCAAGCCTCCCATGGTCTCTATAACTTATCATTTGAGCTTTGGTCTGCATATGGCCGTGACTTCCTCCTGTCACATTTCAGGATCCGTCCCATACTCTGAACCTCCACTGTCAAAACATTCATCTTTTGATAATGAAATTGTCTATGTACCTGTCCCCAGCCCCCAGGGCTGTGAGCTGCATGACAACTTGTCTGTTTCATGAGTGTTCTGCATTGTAAAAGCTCATTTCCTGTTCCCCAACCCCCTCCGGGGGCACCCCAGTTCATACTGGAGACCTCAACCTGATGACATGCCTTTCCTGGACCAGACAGGTGACCTTCTGCTGGGCTCCAAGCACAGGATTTCTTCATGGTACAGCAGCAAACTCCACACCCATCTCCCGAGCGGGGTTGTGTTTTCCAGAGCCTGGGGGTGCTAAGTCAATGTTAGCTGGAAAGATGAACAAATGACTCATCTCTGTGGCAGCCATGAATGTGTAACAAGTCTTTCCATGTAATCGGTTTAGAAAAATACATTTTAATATGTTCTACTTAAGCCATCTGCATACAGTTCAGATCCAACACATTTATACTGGGCTGCTTTGTTCTGAGATGTGGTAGTTTCTGGTTATAGAAAATACACATTAAAAAAACAACAAAAAAAAACTGGTTATAGAGAACCAGTTTCAGCATTTAAGAAAAAAAAATGCCTATAGCTATTATCTGGAGAATTATCTAGAGAATTTTTTAGGAGATGGAGGAGGGGAGGGCTTCAGATATAAGGCATTCTTTTCCTGTCCTCATGAGAAGCATCAAGTTTCTGGGTTTTAGCAGATAAGAGTGTGAAAAAGAGTGTTAAATTACTTAATAGTTTGTTACATAGCAGGTCTAAAAAGCCAATTACATTAAAAAAAAAA